TAATCCCCTCCACAAGAGTAAAACGACTGATCATGCCCATTCTGTGTTGATTAAACAAATGTGTTGTGCCTTTTGTAAAATGTCTGGCGAATCCAAGTTGCACTCCCATATCCACCAACCTCGACAAGTATATTACCATATACCGGCTGTAAACCCCAGCGGAAAGACCCGGCTGTTGGTCCATTTTCTGGACCAAGGCTTTGTTCCGGGACCTGAGTTTTGTGGATGCATTCGTTTTACAGATCTTGCTGATTTGTATTCAGACTGTTGGTTCCTTGCCTCTCAGGCAGATGCACTCTGGCTTTGAAGGTAGCCCCCAGTTATTTGACTCTTACGTCATGCTTGTTGGGGCAGCAGTGGGTCTGTTCTTGTTTCCCACACTGTGGGACCCTGGAACTGACACAGGGAACTGTTTACTCCTGAGTGGTTGTTACGTTGTCTGGTCTTGTACACCCTCCTGGCTTCTGGGCTTGGATAATGGGATGCTGCAGAAATACCATTGGTGGATGCCAGGAAAGATAAATAGTCAGTTCTTTCAACTCTGACGAGCAAGGACATTTGCAAAACTTAAGATCAGCACTTCTTGAACCATGGCAGAATTACAAAAGGGCTGTAATATTTGGATGCCACTGCACATATGCCTAGAAATTAGGCTGGCAGTGAAAGACTACATAAGCCTGAAGCCGAAGTAACAACAGGGGATAGATATAAAAAGAGTTTATGGAACTATGAGAATCATACTTTATCTCATCAGAAAAATTGTTTAAGATCATCAAATGTATTACTGTTATAAACTCCTTTCTAGTAACAATGTTGAAACTCCCCACAGGCCAAAATAGCACTTGTTCAATTTAAGATGGAGGAGCAGCTGGCTCAACAGTTAGAATACTGGACTCTTTAGTGAGAGACCCAGCTTCGAATCCTCAGTAATGTGGATTTTGTTTCTGTCGGATGAAGCAGTAAATCCTAACCTGCACAGCTCATGGTGACAGCACTAGCCATGTAGCCCTCAATCCTTAATGCTCAAAGACTCCTATGCCTATACTTCACGTACAACATTCAGCACATTAGCCTGGGCCATGGTTCGTTCTCCTCACACAGTAGCCTTACCTGCAAGCCCATCAACTTGCTCGTTTTCTTGTACACCTGCATGACCATGCACGGATATTGAACAGATCTTTTTGAGCCATGACCGAACGCCTCAGAGACACCAAATACTGTCTTCGGACCCAACCCATCTCTTATCTTCCTGCGCATCTCTATCTTCCTAACTATAATTGGTGTCTTATGCATTTAATACGTGTGTGTGCTATCGGACATGCTGAAACTGCAGTTTGTTTTAATTATTCTACAAGGGACAGCGATGGACACTCTGGGTGGTTTTCATTGGCACAGGAATGGAGCAACTGTGGGGTGACCTGTTTGCTATGAATCTGAAACTGCGAATATCCGATTACCTGCTTTACAAGGCATAGTACCGGGGAGAAGTGGCCGGGACTGACCAACACGAAGATGGACACCAGACATGGGAGACATTTTAGGCAGGAAAGTTTGCCACTAGTGAACTTATTTACTGTTTACAAGATGATGGCGGCGTCTTTAATTTATGTGTGTATTGTCGACAATAGGGTGACCACAAATTTTGTTTACACCAGGATAATTAATGATGAAATAAGCTCCTTGTGTCCTCCAAAAGAGGGGAGAGCATAAAGGACCCACTCAAACTGATACTAACGTTGTTGGCCCCTCAGGACCGTAACTATTGCCCAACACCGGACTAGCAATGTACTTGTGGAAGAAGCTTCACAAGGGAGCATGGTCTAAAAACGCACTCCGTAAGAATGAAATGCAACGGTGCACACGTAGTGGTAACCGTCGCAAAGCCTTTTCGGGAGCAGATGAGACGTTAGGAAACGACAGGCAAGGTTTACCCCACCCACCTGTAGAGACCGAAGACGTCCATCACGGAGGTGCACTGCTGAATATCTCTGACAAGTTGCGGACGAACATCAATTTTCCACCCACAAGCGTTAGGGTGTCGTGGTGAAAACTGGATGGTATTTATCTAATGTTATTGATGGTGGATGTAAGAAAAAGTCGCTGGAGGACAAGCTAACACGGTTTGGTGACACAACTTACACTCAGCTGTGTCCGCGAGTTCGATACAGTCGAGAAGATGCAACCGAGTGTCACGCAAGATAAAAGCAGAAGACAGAGACATTGAGAAGTGCCGAGTCGACAAGAATGCACTAAGAAAACGGTTAAAAGCCGCTAAAGGCAGTGAACGGGGGGGGGGGGGTACTTACGAGGTCTGGCTGCACCTCAAGAGCAGACACAATGCCCTCTGTCGCGCCAAGCGTACAGACGGAGAACCATCGAGAAAAGGGATCAGTCCCAGTTTTCCTGAAGTCTTTTCGAGCAACAAAAGTCTGGGACCCATTTGTCGCTAAAGAGGAATTGGAGTTGCATCTACTAAGCATGCACTCCGATCGGACAAGGAACGAACCTCTCGATGACAGGCAGAAGATAACCTGTGGCCCGAGTTTGCTCAAGGTAAAGTTTAAAACGTCGCCTCCCTCTTGGTCTGAAGCCGACGTTGTGAGAAGAGCCAGTGGGAAATCTGCCCTAGGACCCAATGGTGTCCCGTAGGCCTACGTCTTGTACAAACGCTACCCGAATGTCATCCTAAAGCTTCGCCGATTGCTAACGCTAGCGTGGAGCCGAAAGTATCTATGTAAGCAGTGACAGAAAGCCCCACGAAGTCTACATTCCCAAGGAGCGAGACTTCTCCCATCTATCCCAATTCAGACCTATCTCACTGTTGAACGTCGGTGCAAAATATTTTTCTCAGTGATAACACGCAGACTCATGCAATATTTGATACCCGAGTTCGATATTTTATTTACACATTAAGAAAAAAGCGCCAATGGATAACTATTCGTTTTTCTAAACAGTATATTAAGGCACATCAGTCAGTTGTAGTAGTAACAGTAGCAGCAGCAGTATTGGTACCCAGGTTTTTTAAAACTATACAAACAAGTTTCGGTACACGTCATAAAGAATCTAAAAACGACGCACGTACTCACATCAAAGTGTCTATTATACTAATTTTAAAAGAATGACGCCTCCCAAAAAGGTGCTGGTACTGCGTACCGCCAGAAAAAAAAAGCTCTGGCAGTAAATATACTAAACATATTCTGTTCTATTCTTCCGTTTTACAGTTAAGATATAAAGATCTCGTTGTCTGTTTATACAACGGATATTTACCAGATATATATTTTTAAAAGCCCTGGCAGAAACTATACACAACATATCCTGTTCTATCTTTCTGCGTTACAGTTAGGATATAAAGATCTTGTTGTCTGTATATATATAACGGATATTTATCACACACACAGTAACATCTGGAGTAAGACAGGGGTGTGTCTTATCACCACTGCTGTTAATCACCTACATCGACAGTATATGCAAGAATGCCAAGCCCATGAATGAAAATGTTAGTAAGATCAACGAATTACTCTTTGCAGATGACCAGGCCTTGATAGCAGATACAGCCATGAAATTGCAACAACATCTAACATCCATGAATGAAGAATGTAAAACAAATAATATGAGAATAAACACTGAAAAGACAGAAGTAATGTCAATAGGAAAAAAGAAGACAGGTCTAAACATAGCAATAGAGTGCAAAGGCATTAAACAGGCATCTGAGTTTAAATATCTGGGAACTACATTTAACGAAGATGGGACCCATAGCGGTAAAAGAGGAAGTGAAGAAGAAAAAGAAGATCACACACACGCACATGTATATATTAGCCTTCTTCTTCTTCTTCTTCTTCTTCTTCTTCTCTTCTTCTTCTTCTTCTTCTTCTTCTTCTTCTTCTTCTTCTTCTTCTTCTTCTACTACTTCTTCTTCTACTTCTTCTTCTTCCTCTTCTTCTTCTTATCTTCCACCTTGTTTCTGTTACTTTAATTCATTTTGTTTCTAGTGAACTGTAGATTCACGCTCAGTTGTCAGTTACTGTTAGTGCTCTTCTTATTAATTTTTCTCCTCTTCACCTCTTTGTTCTTCCTTTTTATTCACTGTTGTGTTCTTCCTCTTCTCTTTACCTTCTTGTTGTTCCACTTTTCCCATTTTCTCCCCCAGTGTTCCTTCTGGTTTGTCTCCTTCTCATTTAATTATTACTTTACTTGCTTTTTCTTCTCCCATTTCTCCTGATTTTGCTCCATCTCCCTCCTCCTTGGGTGCCTGGTTTAAAACACCAGCAGTTGTGACTCCAATCCTCTGTGATATGATATTTGTATGAAATTGATATTGCTTATATTATCACTGATAACATAAGTATAACTCTTGTAAAGATTCATCACACTCCTGAAATGGTATTTTACCTCATAAGGTAATGAACACAGGGCATTCATGCTACTAAGCTCCCTTGCCACCTGTCACCCTATACAATACAAAAATAAAAATCCGGCTATCCTCCGAATAACAGTCACAAAAGATGGCGGCCACAAAAACACCCTAACAGAGCCTCAGTCACGTGTCAATTGCCAATTGCGCACTTCTGACGACTTAATTTGCGGTTTTCCAGCGACTACCGCCACCGCCGAGAGTATCCCCCACGCGGCGTGGATTGGGGCTAAACTAGATGGCTGGGACTCACGAGCAGCAGCTTCCGCATTCCCTGCAGCTTTGCTCGTGAGTCCTAGCCATCTAGTTTAGCCCCAGTCCACACCGCGTGAGCAGCGGGGGGGGGGGATAGTGGTGGCGGTAGTCGCCAGGAAAAACGGAAATTAGGTCGCCTTAAGTGCACAATTGACACGTGACTGAGGCCCTGTTTTTGGCCACCATTAGCCGCCATCTTTTGTGCCCGTTATTCGGAGGATAGCCAAAAATGCATCTTTGAAATGATAAATTTTTTGCTTGTTTTTTTCTTCAGGCATATCATTGAGTAGAAACCTGTCAGGCCTGAAATTGAATCTACAATCGCCTGTGAACAATGGGTGTTCATCGCTTGTGGTCCTATATCAAGAAGCATCGCCATGCACTTATAACTTATTTTGACCTGGTGGAAGTTGCTGAAGGATATCCAGGTGGTTTGAAGCTTCTTGTCGACTTCTACAGTTGGGAGCATTTCATATTGGCAAAATTCTGGGACTCTTTGAGTCAGTCAGCTCAGAACAAAAACATAATATTTGCTGGTGGCGAGTACAGCATGATAGATGCTTTCATCAAAGAATTTATTTTGCGATTACGAGCCGTTAATATTGAGTTGGTGTTTTTCCTGGATGGAGCCAAAGGAAGTGCATACACCTCTTCGAAACAGAAGTTACGAACTTGGCAGTCCCGATATTCTGATGATCAGAAGAGATTAAAGAACACTGCCGACTTTTTACGTGGCAAGGTATCTGTTTCTGAACATTGTCGTAATTAAAAAATGACAAGTGTTTCCTGAAAATAAGCCCTGGTCTTATGGTAAATTTTGTTTTAGGAGACTCGCTTTCAAATCCAGCTGCGTTCGCTGCAGCCCGAGGACGGTGTTCGAAACCGGGAGGTTCCGGGGTTCACCCAGCCTCTATATGATGGGTACCAGATTTAACGCTCTGGAGTAAATGGAGGCATGTTGCTGTAGCTACGGAGTTGCATGCGGACGGCGACACAGGTGGACAGTTTCTTATCAGCTGTCCGTACTGGTGGCAGAGGACTTATGGTTTATAACCGTGTGCAATGACGCTGGTTCACATCTCCCGACTTGACCTTTAACCTTTTTTACAATTTGCACTTGGGCTTATTTTGGGGGATGTCTTTTTTCAGATACAAAATCTACACTTATTCATGTACACAATTGTACACTTATGTATTACTCTTAAAGGGGCAGTTAACCTGTTATTTTGTAGTTTACAGGCTAGGCTGTGTTATCTACGCCTTTCATCCCAACACATCTGATTTTAGCAAACTTATAATTTGTCTCCATTTATGACATACTTCACAGAGACAGCAGGTCTTTTCTTTCCCCCAGAAAATGGAGCCCCAGAAGTCCACATGGGATGCCTATATTTATAATGCTGAGTTGACCCTGGAGCCATACTTGTCTAAAAATAATAATCCTGCCTTTGGGAGTTGACCCAGAATTGTGATCTGAGTTAGGATCCTCGAATGATGATATGGGGGTAATCCTGGAAAAGAATTGCTTCAGGAAATCAACATCAAAGATTTATGAGCAGACATACATATCTTTGCCACCTGACAAGCAATGATGATATCAATATCTGAGACAATGCTGTTTATGAATATTATACTCCGCATGTAGGTTCCAGTGTCCCGTTGGGGGGTGGGGTTTGGGGGGGGGGGGAGAAAGGAGGGGGAATAGACCCACTCGTAAGAGTTACCTAATTAGGGATGTTTCCTTTGAAGTCAGAGGGCATCTGCCTGAGGCGAGGAGCAACAGTCTGCATAAAAAAAGCCAGATCTGTAAAAACAGATATGCACCAAAAAATCACGTTCTGGAACTTCTTCTTCGTGCTCTCCGGCTGTAAACTCCAGCAGAAAGTTATGGTTGTTAAACAACTTCTGGACTCCAGTCCTGTTCCAATACTTGAGAGTTGTGTGCACATTCATTTAACAAAACTAACTCATTTGTATGCGAACTGTCGGTTCCTTGCGTCTCAGGCAGATACACTCCGACTTCGAAGGAAACTCCCAATTAGTCTATTTTTACAACATGCTTTTTCAGTAAGCAGTGAGTTTATTCTTGTTTTTCCGACAATAGGGTTCCGGAACCCACACGGTTAGGTTCTGGAACAAGACTGAAGTCCAGAAATGGATGAAAAAACAGAACTTTTACCCAGAGTTACTTCCCATGAACACGAAGAAAAAGAAGTATTATACAACCAACATTTTTTGTTCAGGATGACTGAGCAGATAGATTGAGAAGTTATCTGTATAAGTTATCTGTGTATTCTGTTAATGAAACTGGGTTTGTGTTTGTTATTTGGAAGCTGCCCCTGGAGCGGGTAGACACGGAACATCTGACCCGCCCCTGTCTGCAAGAGGTGCAGAATGTGTTGACTCTGCAGGAGTGTGGTTGTGTCATTCACCTGCAGGTCTCAGGTGAGAGCTTGTCTTGGAAGTTTGTCTTTCCTTGTATCCAGTATCTGCTTTATCCCGCTAACAGTTGCAGTTTAACAGGAGGTAGGCAGCTGGCCTGGGTTTCTTGGTGTGTTGAGATGTTGTGAGGTCTGAAGCTGTCAGTGACTTCTTCAATCCATCTTCTAAGTCTCCAACTACCTTTTGGTGTTTCCATTCTTATGTTGTAAGCTGTCATCATTGAATTCATTCTCACCAGGTGGTCAAACCATTTCAGTCTTAGTTTGTCATTGAATTTAGTGACAGGTATTGTTCCAGTAGTTTTTCAAATCTCTTCATTTCTCACATGATCTTTCCAGAAGTTTGTGGTGGTTGCTCCCTGTGTGGGTTGCACAGCTCCATTTTTTAGAACAAAGAAAAGACTTACTGCCTTCGTAACAAGCTTGTCCTAGGAGTGGCTGATCAGGGGTGTGTCCTTCAAAGTCGGGAGTCCATCTGCCTGAGAGGCATGCAACCAACAGTCGGTGTACAAAGAAGCCAGATCTTTAAAATGGATGTGTTTGCAAAACTTAAGATCTGGAACAAGACTGAAGTCTAGAAGTGAAAGAGCAGCCAGAACTTTCTGTCAGAGTTTTCACCTGAAGAATATTTTAAACTTGTTCCGTACCAAATTAATGAAAGAGACTTGTATCACTTACAGCCTAGACTTTTGTTAGGAACAAAGAAAAGTCAGTAAAGGACTCTTCCACACCTAGAGGTGCACTAGGCATCTGTTTCTAGGCCCAGACTTGTAGATACCAATCAGCACTCAATAGGTTGAGCTGAGAACTGACATCACAGCACTCAGGGCATTCCCATAAGCACTCCATTCTCATCTTCAGCAGCCAATTCTTCTTCTTCAGTTCTCGTTATGCCTAGTGGCACATGAGGCTTCAGAGAGGACTTTCCATGCTTTCCTGTCCTGTGCAATCTTGAGTGCAGTTTTCCATGTCAAAGATGCCGCACTCAGGTCACTTTCCATTGTTCGTCTCCATGTTGTTTTGGGCGCCCCTGTTTTCTCTTTCCCTCTGGTGTCCATGTGAGAGCTGTTTTGGCAGGTAAATCAGAAGTCATTCTCATAACGTGGCCAAGCCATTTCCATCTTCTCTTGGTAATCATACTGTCTAAAGTTTCTTGGTTTGTGGCTTGAAGTAGTTTAGTGTTTGAGATTGTATTTGGCCAGAAAATTTTGATAATTCTACGTAGACATGTGTGGTGGAAGGGGGACAGCTTGTGTGCATCCTTTTTGGTCATTCTCCAGCATTCCGCTCCATAAAGAAGAACTGGCAAAATTATGCTCTTGTAGAGTCAGAGTTTGGTTCCTCAGCAGCTAATGCAGAGTTCCAATTCCATTGATGCCAGTAACAGTTTGATTATTTGTCCATCTTGCCTTTCCTCTGCGTGTAGAGTGTAGAGTGATGGCCAGATCCTCTGGTTACGTCTAGCTGAACTATTCTCTTCAGACCAAAGGGCTGTATTCATGCCTTTGCAGTGTTCAGTTGTTCCCAAAGGGCCTTGACCACCTCTAGCTTGTCTTGCATACATTCATTTAATGCAGAACAAGCCAATCTGTCTGCCTGTTAATTTATTAACTCTCCTGCATAGCCAGGAGAAAATACTCAGTAGATGATGTAGTCAGCGTGACAGCTATCATGCTAACTCCCCCAAAACATTTCCAGATACCTGTTTTTTAAGCTAGATCCATGAGGAACACAGGTAAGTTTGTGAAAGTCCACCTCAATGGGATACACATATATGCAGATGATTCAGCACTGAATGCTAAATATCTGATGGGTCTAGTGTGTGTGTGTGTCTGTTAGTTCTTAGCATTCACGACTGCAAACTACAGCGGAATATTCTTCTAGACTTGTTCCAGAAAAGATATAAAACCGAACGAAAAGTATATTAGCAAGCTTCACAATATAACAAATACAAACAAAATGTGAATGTTGGGGCTATGGAGCCTTCATCAACACATACAAATCAAGCAATACTACACAAATACACAAAATCACTTAGCTGGTATCTCAAAGCAGCCGGGACGATGGTTTCTCTGCAGACTGTCTACACGTCTGGGTTGGGGGAATAAATACCCACTGTGGAGTACCAAGGGCCATAACTAGGGGGCTAGAGATAATACTGTAAGCGCAGTTAAATCCCCTAGACTTGTTCCAGAACTTGAGGTGCTGCATGCAGATCCTTTTTACAGTTCTAGCTTTTCTGTGTGTAGACTGTTGGTTCCTTGTCTCTTGGGCAGATGCAATCTGACTTCGAAGAAAACACAGCTAATTAGTTGGCTTTTACAACATAATTGTTAGGGGCGTTTGTTCCCCCCCCCCTCCCCCGCACCCCACAGTTGAGCCTAGGCACACACACAGTGAGTTTAAAATATTAATAACTTGTTGTTTAAAATATCAATAACTTGTTGTTGTTGTTTAAAATATCAATAACTTGTTGTTGTTCAAAATATTAATAACGTTGTTGTTGTCACAGGAGAGGCAGATCATATTATTGCGAAACATCTGAGAGATGATGCAGCGGCGTTTGCTGTGTTAAGTAACGACACAGACTTCTGCATCTTTGAGCACTGTGTGCTGATGCCTTTAGATTTCTTTGATATGAACAACGACCTTGGCCTGGGGTTAATGTCATTGAATGTAAAGACACCAGAACATCTCAAGTGTGGGATCATTCGCACAGAGCGTGTGATGAGTCTTCTTGGTGTGAGTCACTTTCTTCATTGGTGTTAGGTTAACTTGCTTGGTACCAGCCTGTGATTACTTTAATTCTTTAAACAACCAGAAGTTACAGCTCAGGGTAGCCAATGTTTCAGGCCAAATAAAAGCTTGTTGCAAATTCTTTACACTTGGTTGCAGAACAACTCAGGCAGTTTTTGGTTGTTTGTGATTTCACTAAGCAGTTTTACCCTTAGTACAGTGAGAAGAAAAGTGGGCGGAGTTATATTGCGAAGGTGAACCTTTGCATTCCCAGTCCAGAACTGAGGAATTTTTATCAGCAAAATGTAGCCGGAAACAATAACTTGTCATAGTATTAGCAGTGAGCCATTGTGTTATCACTGGTTTGTAAAACCACATCTTTGATGATTTCATTTTATGTTTCACTAATCTGCCATAGTTCGTGATTCACTTCTGTACACCAGAATTGATAAAATATAGCTCTTCAAAATTTGTTTTCTCACCTCAGTCAACACAGGTAGATTTGAGAATAGTTGCTCAAAAATTAATATGAATATGTATATATATATATATAGTATTCGGGATTCTGAAATACACACATTTGGATCCTCACCTGTGCTTTGGAGTTTGTATGCTGTGCTGGGATTCTCATTGTGTGATCTGATCTGTTGGAGGAAACTCAGGTATAAATGGAGATGTGTAATTCATCATCATCGTCCTGTTGTGCCTTTGTATGTTACATAGGGTCGCAGTCCATTCCTCCATTCCATTCCATGCTGTGCAATCTCTTCAATATCATGGATTGAATCCAGACCAGCAGCTTTGGCCTCTCTCATCAGTGTTCATCTTAGAGTTTCTTGTAGACGTCCTCACTTCCCCAATGCCTTTAGTTCCCATTTTAATGCCTGTTTGGTGATTCTCTGCTCATTTCTTCTCATAATGTATCCAGTCTAGTGTCTCTTTCTCTGTCTTTTAAGTGTTGATGCTAGTGGTTGCCCAGACATTTCTCTGATTTCCTAACCCCTCGCTGATTCATTCCATTTTATGTTCAACATCGTTTTCAGGCAGCATTTCAGAAGATGGAAATTATCTAATGTAATAATTCACTCTCATTAAACATCAGAAAACAAGTACTGAAATGTTATATCCAGCCTGTTCTGTTAAATGGTAGTGAATCTTAGAATGTGAGCAAGCAAATTAAGAAGAGTTTGGGGGCAACTGAAGAATGTTGTGAATACCTTGGACTTCCAGAATAACTAACAATGATTGCCTGGAAATTTCTAATGAAAGTGGAAAATTATGTACAACAATGAGAAGGTTTGAGGTTTGAACAATGGATCAACTTCATGGCACATGAGAAGTTACCCATATTTGCTCTGTTCTTCTTCTTACTCAAGTCTGAGTCCGAAGAAGCTCAGCAGTGCACAGGCTCTGTAGCAGCGGCGAGGATCCTGAAATACTTTGAGTAGTTTTTTAACTCCAAAAATTTTGCCGGGGCAATGCCGTTAGGCTACTCTTTTCGATTTCCAACTGCCAAGGGATTTCTTACATGCACAACAATGCACACGGGCGTCCGATCTCACTTGATCTGTTATTGGTGTATATTTGACACTAAATGAGTAATCCTTCAGTATATTTGACACTATACGAGTAATCCTTCAGTATATTTGACACTGTACAAGTAATCCTTCAATATATTTGACACTATACGAGTAATCCTTCAGTATATTTGACACTGTACGAGTAATCCTTCAATATATTTGATACTATACAAGTAATCCTTCGGTATATTTGACACTATACGAGTAATTCTTCAGTATATTTGACACTATACGAGTAATCCTTCAGTATATTTGACACTACGAGTTATCCTTCAGTATATTTGACACTATATGAGTAATCCTTTAATATATTTGACACTATACGAGTAATCCTTTAGTATATTTGACACTATACAAGTAATCCTTCAATATATGTGACACTATACAAGTAATCCTTCAGTATATTTGACACTAAATGAGTAATCCTTCAATATATTTGACACTATACGAGTAATCCTAGATAAACCCAAGTCAATCATCATGTGCTTTTCCCCCAGCTTCCGGACCACGAGTCTCTCATTGAGCTGGCAGTCATCAGTGGCAACGACTTTACTCTTCCATTTCTCAACACCATTCAGACATTTAAGGCTTCTTACATGGGACAGTTGGACAAGCTGGCATGCATGATTTACAACAACGGAGTGGCTGAAAAATGTACTTTCTTCGGACCTATGATAGTACGTGTTGTTACATTTAGTTTCTCTTTTATCCTGTTCTTTTGTTTTACAATATTAATTTCTATGAGTAAAAATAGATTTATCAGTAGAGTGTGCCATGCTGGGTCTGCTATGTCTTCTGCTAATTATCCCTCGTTTAAACAAAGCCCTTAACCGATTAATCTCCATGTGAGTTCTGGGGTCCCATTGTGGCCGAAAACTAAGAATATGCCCACTGCCTCCCTATTGTTGTAGGAGTCGACTAGTTAGGTATTTCATTTGAAGTTGGAAAGCATCTCTGAGAGGTGAGGAACCAACAGTCTGCATACAAATAAGCCAGATCTGTAAAACAGATGTGCATGTAAAACTTAAGTTCTGAAACAAAAAGTAAAGTCTAGAAGTGGACAATACACAACTTTTCAGCCACAGTTTACAGATGGTGAATGTGAAGAAGACGAAGAAGTAACTGCTCACACAAGGCCATCCTGTCTTTTGCTGGTTCCTACATCTGCTTTCATGTCCTCATAATATTTACCTCTGTCTCTGATTCTCTTACGCAGGTGGTCTCCCTCTATTTCTTTTGCTGTGTAGGTTCCACTCAAAATAATGTTCCAGTTAAACTATTATCAGGTTTTCAGTGTGTTCCCATTTAATGCCAATGTTATTTCCTCACCTCTCAGTTTACCTGAAATTGTTTAGTTCTTGTTTGTTTCTTTCCCTAAGCGTTTTGCTTCTTCTTACCTTTTCACTTTTTCTTATCTTTCACCATCCAGATCTGGACTTTAGTTTTGTTCCAGAACTTGAATTCTGCCTGCATATCTATTTGACAGATCTGGCTTAATTGTATGCAGACTGTTGATACCTTGATTTCGGGCAGATGTGCTCCAATTTTGGAAGACAAATCTCCAATTAGTGGCCCTTTACCACATGCTTTTTAGGGGGTCTGCCCCCTCCCCCCAGAACCCACACTAGTAATTCAATCATACCATATTTATGGAAAATATAGATTAATATGGGAATGGATAACTGGTGAAACAGAGTCAGCGGTGCAAGAGTTGATCAATGAAAATTCACGCCGAGGTGACATGATAATATATACAGAGGGGTCTGTAGGGAGAGGTAAGAACAAGGGTGGGGTTTTATTGTGAAGGTGAATGAACATGTTTGAGAACAGAGAGCCTCGTGTACAACATCACAACGTTCAATATGAGAATGGAGGTGGAGGCAGTAACGGCAGCTTTGTGATGGCTGGAGATTGAAACAGACTCACAGAGCATGCTTCGGTAAACTGAAACTGGTGTCCTGCTCGCAGAGTGGCTTGCGTCACTTTATAAGACCCAAATCAAGAGCATATTGTGGATTTTCTGCTTAGGATATTTATATCAGATGGATAGTGCAGTAGAACAGATAGGGAATCCTACACTGAAAGACTAATTCAACGAGGAGGTGAAGAGGTCCTGGACAATATTAACTTTGAGGGGGAAACAGAGGCAGACTTTTAATCAGGTTGCAACTGGTACTATTATTATGTCGACTCTTTTGTGGCTTCTGAAGAAGAAGCCAGAGCTCATGTGAGAATTTCCCACATTCAGTGATATAAATTCTTGATTCACTCATTCATTCATGCCATATTAGTTTTTTTTATTCTGTGCAGGCACCATTTAATGAATATTTTGTAGTTTGTCAGTAATATTTTGAGTCGTCATCTGTCTTTCTGATTCAGACAAGGTACAGATTTACTGTAGGGAGTTACCAGTTCTAAGTTTACTACTAAGACTACTCTTGTGTGACTTCCACAAATGAGCTAGTGCAGTGAAAGCTCCTGTTGCCTTTTATAATGATGAGTCTACGTTTGCTTATATAAATCAGGCAAGTGATCCAGAACTACGGGAAGCCGTGGAACATTCTAGGCAGTTCTACTCATTAACTCTAAAAGAGGAGGGAGAGAAAGAGACTTGTTTCAACTTCCATCTTATTGCCGATGACATCAGAAGAGGGAGACTACCCAGCACAATTGTGGCCATGTATCGGGGCCAATACTGGCATCGGCAGGTCAGTAAGTTGGCAGTTAAAGTAAGATTTCATTCATGTCCGCAGCAGACTTCATGCGGTTATGCCAGTGAGAGTGAGTTGAGTTCAATTAGAAACCAATACTACAGCCACTCAGGATATTCACATATGTGATCCGTCCCCATCTTCAGCCGCCAACACAGAGTGCCAATGGTACAAGTAGCAGTTTGATTTTATGTCCGTCTTGCTTTTCTTCTGAGTGTAAAATGTTGACCAGAGCTCCTGGTCACTCTTAGCTGTACCATTTTCTCTAGACCATATTGATCTATTTCTGCTTCTGCATGTACTCCTTTTTCTTCTGTTGTTCTTCTGCTTATAATGTACAGCACCACAAGGGCAGTTTGATGTAGTTTCCTGTTTTTTTGCTAGCTGCATATGTGTGTTCGGCTTTCACCCATGTTGTTAACCAGTGACCAGAAATAACCAAACCCTTGAAAATGTAGAACATTTCACATATCTTGGTAGTGTGGTGTCCCTACCGGGAGGGACCGAAGAAGACATACGGTCACGCCTGAACAAAGCTAGAGCTGCTTTTGGACGGATGAGGCAAATCTGGAAATCCAACAGTTACTGTAGAGGAACGAAACTCCAACTCTACAAGAGCATCATTTTGCCAGTTCTTCTTTATGGAGCGGAATGCTGGAGAATGACCAAAAAGGATGCACACAAGCTGTCCACCTTCCACCACACATGTCCACTTAAAATTATCAAAATTTTCTGGCCAGATAAAATCTCAAACACTAAACTACTTCAAGTCACAAACCAAGAAACTAAAGACAGTATGATAACCAAGAGAAGATGGAAATGGCTTGGCCACATTATGAGAATGAATCCTGATATACCTGACAAAACAGCTCTCACATGGAAACCAAAGGGAAAGAGAAAGAAGGGGCGCCCAAAAACAACATGGAGATGAAAGTGACCTGAGTGCAGCATCTTTGACATGGAAAAATTGCGCTGAAGATTGCACAGGACAGGAAAGCATGGAAAGTCCTCTCTGAAGCCTCATGTGCCACTAGGCATAACAAGAACTGATGATGATGATAGTTGTGTTAATGTCATTTTGCGTGTCTGTGGTGTCTCTTTTCTCTCTACCCATCTCATTCTGGCCTTGTAGCTGCTGTTCTTATGAAACATGCTCCAGCTGCCAGCTGATTTGGTTCCATTCTAACCAGATGACCGTTGATTCTCTGTTGTTCTGTGAAATCATTCACCTGTACTGTACCTTCCATTGTTTTTAGTTCTTCGTTTGTGACTCTGTATCTTCTTGTTTAACCCGCTCATTCCTTTATCGGGGACTGTCCATGTTCGGCACTGATAGCACAAAGCTGTCATTTACCAGCTGCTTTTTGGTGTCAATGTTGATTGTTTTAAGCTTCAAAAATGCCTATATTTGGTGATTTGTGATGTTGGCCTGTATTATGTTTTCCATTTCTCTGTCTTCAGTATACAATACAACTGGAAATGATCTGCGGGCCACTTGTTAGGCCTCTGTGGCCAGATTTTTCCTGCGGTCCGCCTGTTTAAGAGCGCTGGACAATGAGCCAGTGGGGCTTATAATGGCCCGACAGGACATTGATAATGATGTGTCAGTGTTTGTCCACTCTTGAGTCACCTTTATTGCCAGATCTATCTTACAAGATTGCTATCACAAAGAAAACATTGTATGTATGGGGAGGGAGAGGCATCCATGGAGCTTCAGCCTTGTTTAAGTGCTTAATAATAATGCACTGAATGGCCCCCCCAAAATATCATAATTAAACTTGTATAAACGGTCACTACTGCTGGTATTTACTGCTTGGTGGTGTAGAACCCGGGGATCATGAACCTGAGAAATTTAGACCACATGGCTAGTGCATTCGCCACGAACTGTGCAGTCTTTGTTGTATTGTCCATCCCTTACCAGGGACCAAACCTGGCTGTCTCGCATGAGAGCTCAAAGTTCTAGCCATTCAACTAGCTGCTCCTCAAAACATATATCTATACAGTGAAACTTATCCAGAGAACTTCTGTACATGGTTGGGGGGGGGGGGGGTGTTCTTAGATATAATGTTAGATATTGTTGTGTCATTTCTGTTGAAGTCATCTGTTGTTCTCAGTTATATTGAAATCAGTTTTGTTGAAGTCATCTATTGTTCTCAGTTATATTGAAGTCAGTTTTGTTGAAGTCATCTGTTGTTCTCAGTTATATTGAAGTTAGTTTTGTTGAAGTCATCTGTTGTTCTCAGTTATATTGAAGTTAGTTCTGTTGAAGTCATCTGTTGTTCTCAGTTATATTGAAGTCAGTTTAGTTAAGTCATCTATTGTTCTCAGTTATATTGAAGTCAGTTTTGTTGAAGTCATCTATTGTTTTCAGTTATATTGAAGTCAGTTTTGTTGAAGTCATCTATTGTTCTCAGTTTTGTTGAAGTCATCTATTGTTTTCAGTTGTGTAGAAGTCAGTTTTGTTGAAGTCATCTATTGTTCTCCATGTGAACATGCCTAGGTGCTGGAAGATCCCAGTCCTGGTTTCCCCTGTGCTGACCTAGCGTTCACCCCCCTGAGGGCTTACATCTACACAATCCTGTTGCCGTCAGATAAGATGTCCGTTACAGAAATTGGTCGTACTCCGTACCTGCCTGTCCAACAAATTACAGTAAGTGAATTTCATGTTGTGCCTTCAAACTTTTTCTCTGGTTGCTGAAGATGGGGAGGGAGAACAGTGGGGATGTTGTTACTTAACTCTTTAAGTGATAAACAGAGCACCATATGTGACTGGATATTACTGTCACCCTAAAACATCTTGTGTGTTTCTGTATCTTAAGTATAGCCAGGGCAAGCAACACATTTGTTTTGTACAGTTTACTGTATATTTAGTCCCTGCGGATGTAGTATACCCATAGTTTTGTTGCCGTTACTGTTGCAGCCGGGCATCGGCTAAAATCTTCTGGGTAAAAAAAGTTAACTCAGCTCACAACAGTTTCTTAAAAAACGTCGATTGAGAAAGAAAAAAGAAGGAGCACCTAAATATGACAAGGTTTCAACATCAGGGCATTCTTTCTCATTTCGAAAACAAGATACTTTGGCTGCAGTAGTTTAAAAAGAAGAAGAGGCATGAGTGTACTAGTATTTAGGTAGACACGGGACATTAAAGGCACCCGGGAAGTCAAAATACACCAGGCAGAGCACAGGTGAGAGATTAAAATATTTGCGGAAGTCATGTAACTTTCTGTAAAGGATTTCATGATGATGATAAGCCACCTGACGCCACGCAGCATTCCAGGTTTAGAGAAAAGAAGAAGATAACCGCCTGATAAGTCTCACTCTGTATTTTAAAAAACACATATATGCATGAGCGCGCACACAAACACACACACACACACACAGACACTTGATGACACAGACAGTGATTAAACTGTTAATTCCATGCTCTGCTGAATATCTGGACTTGTTTTGTGTACAGTGTTGTAGTTTTTTTTTTTAGTTTACGGGACTCATTTATGTGGTGGCTTCATCAGTCTCTGAACCACAGGTTTGTCTCTAGAGGACCCGCCCAGGACAGTTGTGTGCAGGCTGGTCGACCCCTTAGTGCTAGGCAGGGCAGAACATAGGCATTGCTCACCCTCCAAGGAGGCCTCCTTGAATGCAGATGGAGCTCTGATACTGGGCTACTACAAGGAATTGTTGCCTCCTGCAAATAACTGCTCAACTTCACATCTGCATTGATTTTATGTTAAAGTTAACAGTTTCCTATTTTTTTTTGTATATTACTGCCAGTTTTTATCACTTTTGCAATGTAAGGAGCAGGGGAGGGGGGGGGGTTGCTGATTCTACAACACCAGGAACCCATGGCAGTAGATCATGGTGAGTTCATGTTGAAACAAGCTCATTCCAGACCAAAAACTTTATCATCATTCTGTTTCCTTGAAATTGGCTTATATTTGTGTGTTTGTTTCCTGCAGATCCTACAGTTTCCATCTTTAATAGTTGGCCAGGAGCTGCATTCTCGTGCTGTCTGGATCCGCTAGGACCATTTCAAGACAGGGTGAAAATATCTTGAGAACCGCTACCAACTCGCCTAAGGGACTCAATGTCCAACACATCTTTATCTAATATTTTCAAGTTATATCCCTTACCTGCCACAGCTTTTTCTGGATAGTATTCATTTCTCTGTGCTGACACATGTGTCAGAGCTTCAACTGGCCAGACAGACATGGGGATTTCTCTCGGAGATACCTCACTTAAGTGATTTCGTGTATTCTTGATTGCAGTTATAACACTGTCTATTCATGTCGTGTGCTGATGAAGGCTTCCTAGCCACAATGTCTATTTATTATTTGTGATTGTGATAATGTGAAGCTGACACTAGCTCTGCTTTTAATTTGGTTAAATATCTGTTATTCCACAGTGAGCACTTTCAAATTTGCTCACAGGCTGATTTCATTTGCAAGAGGGCAGGACAGTCCACCGTGTGCAGTGTGTTTTGATTGCATCTATCTTTGGCACCTTGTTTGCCAGGACACAAGACTTGAAGCTGGTTCATGTAATTCACAATTTAAGAGTGAATTGATGCATAATATTTCATATACTGATGGGTTCTACACATTCTTGTCTCTCTTAGACCTCATTGAAATCACTCAGAGAACTTGTTACTTGTTATCCATATGGACAACATCCTGCCACATCGGTCCGACCCATTCATGCTCCGTCCTCGGATGGCGCCTGTGAGGGCGGAGTCTCCATGCTCATTGTACCCAGCAATAGTTGACCGAGATATCAACAAAGACCAGTTTTATTGTGCTGTTTTAGTCAGTCATTGACAGAACATATACCATTAGTATTGTACTATATTTGCCTTGTTCTTCTGTGGTCTTATCTGTCAATCAAGCGTCAGATGCCAGTGACCTCATATGACACCCTACTATATATTTCTGTCTCCTGATGTCCCTTCGGTGCCTTCCACATATTATCCATCCCTGTCTTGAATGCTTGTATGTTTTTAGTCTGCCTCTGATTCTTTTTTCCTTATAGGATTCGTTTAGTCCCATCTAACATAATTCAGAGAACACATACCATTGTTATATCAGTCATGTCTGAGATTGTTCAGAGAACATACTTCCATTGCTAGATTTGTTCAGGCAGAGATGTTCTCATTGTTCAGAGAACATACTTCCATTGCTAGATTTGTTCCAGCAGAGATGTTCTAATTGTTCAGAGAACATACTTCCATTGCTAGATTTGTTCAGGCAGAGATGTTCTCATTGTTCAGAGAACATACTTCCATTGCTAAATTTGTTCAGGCAGAGATGTTCTCATTGTTCAGAGAACATACTTCCATTGCTAGATTTGTTCCAGCAGAGATGTTCTGATTGTTCAGAGATCATACTTCCATTGTTAGATTTGTTCCAGCAGAGATGTTCTGATTGTTCAGAGAACATACTTCCATTGTTAGATTTGTTCCAGCTGAGATGTTCTGAGGCAGCCCTCCAGGGTTTGTCCCTGTATTAGCAGGTGTACTAACCTTTCTGCCAGCACTGTTCACCTGGCGGCCTGTGCACCGAATCCAGCCTGCCAGTTACCTGCAGCTCATTGCCAGCTGATATTGTATTAATGATCCATTCAACACTGGGATTTAGTTGTCTAGCCCTGCTCTATGCTATCCATAGAGTATTCAACCCATATGCTTCATGCTCTGTGCTACCCATAGACTATTCACCCCATATGCTTCATGCTCTGTGCTACCCATAGACTATTCAAGCCATATGCTTCGTGCTCTGTGCTACCCATAGACTATTCACCCCATATGCTTCATGCTCTGTGCTATCATTAGAGTATTCGGTACTCCTGCCAAATCCGGACGAAGAATAAAAAGCCTTGGACGACTTAGTCAGAGTTCTCTCCCTTGGGCGCACTGCGAACAGTGATCGGAAAAGCCACAACGAAACAAACGACACAAGCAACATGGCAGTTAGACGCACTCACATAACTAACATCGTTACTCCGACGCACGACTTAGTTGTCACGGACGTAACTCCCGCAGACCTGTATGCCATAATGACAGATAAGTATGCGTGGTTGCGGTGGCTAGCTGAGCATAGTCTGATAAGGAACACGCAACCGTGTGCACGAGGTAGTAGTCCACCAGACCAACTTCGTCGACGCCGTACACAGTCACATACACACACAAACAATTGAGGGCCTCTGGATGCTGGTGAAACGCACCATTCGCCAACGATTGGGCACCAGCCGCACACTATTGGCGTCATATTTAGCAGAATTCCAGTGGCGCCACGCCCACAAACATCAGATTGTCGGCCACTATTTCCAAACCCTACGTCAAAATTTTAACATCTAACCCTAACCCTACCCCTAACCCTACCCCTAACCCTACCCCTACCCCTAACCCTAACCCTAACCCTACCCCTAACCCTAACCCTAACCCTAACCCGACCCCTAACCCTAACCCTAACCCTACCCCTAACCCTACCCCTAACCCTAACCCTAACCCTACCCCTAACTCTAACCCAACAACCGCATGATGATGACTACACAACCATTCACAATGCCTCACGAAACCGTACGCAGCCCTACACGCAACCGCAGGATGATAGGTAAGTGTGTCGTTTATTTCGTTTGTTTTCCGATTACTGTTCAGAGTGCGGCCAAGGGAGAGAACTCTGACTAACTCGTCCACGGCTGTTTTTCTTCGTCCGGATTTGACAGGAGAGCCGAGTATTCAAGCCATATGCTTCGTGCTCTGTGCTACCCATAGACTATTCACCCCATATGCTTCATGCTCTGTGCTACCCATAGACTATTCACCCCATATGCTTCGTGCTCTGTGCTACCCATAGACTATTCACCCCATATGCTTCATGCTCTGTGCTATCCATAGACTATTCACCCCATATGCTTCATGATCTGTGCTATCCATAGACTATTCACCCCATATGCTTCATGCTCTGTGCTATCCATAGAGTATTCACCCCATATGCTTCATGCTCTGTGCTACCCATAGACTATTCACCCCATATGCTTCATGCTCTGTGCTATCCATAGACTATTCACCCCATATGCTTCATGCTCTGTGCTACCCATAGACTATTCAAGCCATATGCTTCATGCTCTGTGCTACCCATAGACTATTCAAGCCATATGCTTCATGCTCTGTGCTATCCATAGACTATTTAAGCCATTTGCTTCATGCTCTGTGCTACCCATAGACTATTCAAGCCATATGCTTCGTGTTCTGTGCTATCCATAGACTATTCAAGCCATATGCTTCATGCTCTGTGCTATCCATAGACTATTCAAGCCATATGCTTCATGCTCTGTGCTATCCATAGACTATTCAAGCCATATGCTTCATGCTCTGTGGTACCCATAGACTATTCAAGCCATATGCTTCATGCTCTGTGCTACCCATAGACTATTCAACCCATATGCTTCATGTTCTGAAGGTGATGAGTTCATTTCACAGACTCATTGTTTCCTCCATAGATACAGTTTTTTTCGAGTTCCCCAGGAATGGTCACTAAAGCTTTTGAGTTTTATTCTGTGTCCATCGCTGTGTGCATGTCCCTGTGTGCATGTCGCTGTGTGCATGTCGCTGTGTGCATGTCGCTAGCTCTTCCATAGAGAGAGATCAAGCCAGGGTCTGTTTATGGTGGTTTGTAGCAGTACGCAGTACCAGAACTTTCAGCTCTACTTTTATAGACACTGTATTGTGAGTACCTGAACCTGTTTCTCAGGCACTTTGTGGTGACTTCTGGCACCTTTTCCCTTGTAGAAATATTCCCTGGATCAAGTCATATGAGACAGACAACCCAGTACCTAAAGCCAATCCTCTCAACTTTTAACTGTGAATTTTTATCCATGACTTCTTTGTGTGATTCCAGTAGCCTATTGTGGGAGAAGAAGAATTGACCCACTGCCCTCTGCTGCAACAAGTATGTCATCAAAGTTGACTGTGTCAAGGTGTTCCTTCGAAGTTGGAATTCACCTGCCTGAGAGGTGAGGGAGGAACCAACAGTGTGTACAGATAAGACAGATCTATAAAACTGATATCCATGCAGAGCTCAAGTTCTGGAACAGAATTAAAGTCCAGAAGTGGATGAACGACCAGAACTTTCCCCCTAGAGTTTACAGCTGGTGAACGAGAAGAAGATTATCCATCCAGATCAGATACCAAACTTTGTTATCACCAGGGCCATCGTATTTCAAATGGTACGGCCTACGTATGGGTTTCCTGTGCTACTTGCTGCGCTACTTCCTGTTGATGAACTGGGGCCAAAACTTGTACATTTCTCCACAAGAGTTCTTCACCATCGTGGCTTGGACATTTGGCAGCCATGACAGCAGCTACCAGAAGTTGAGCATTGTGCCGAGTCCCAGATGTGTCACTGTGGAGAACTGGTTCTTGGTATGTGCTGCCTTCCTGTCTCCCTCTCTTTCTCTCTCTCTGTGTCTGTGTGCATATGCAAGAGAGAGAGAGGGGAAGGGGGGGGGGAGAAAGATTGAAGGTTGATGTTTTTCCTCAGCAATCAAATTGTGTTGTGTGTTCAGTGAGTCATTAAAAGGACAGCGCACCTAAGAAAAATATAAACACAAAATTTCAGCATATGAAATGAGATGTATAATAAATGTGGCGGGAAAACAAGAAGAGACACAGTCAACAATGAATAACTCTGACCAGTGGAAGGCACAGAATTGGTCAATGATGTCATAGAACATCAAAGAACCAAATGGTTTGGTCATCTGGTCAAGAGTGGAACAAAGTCAGCCAGCAGTTGGAGCGTAACTACATGAGAACAACAGGCTGCAAGTCAAGAGTGGAACAAGGTCAGTCAGCACCTAGAGCGTTACTACATGAGAACAACAGGCTGCAAGTCAAGAGTGGAACAAGGTCAGCCAGCAGCAGGAGCGTAACTACATGAGAACAACAGGCTGCAAGTCAAGAGTGGAATGAAGTCAGCCAGCAGCGGGAGCGTAACTACATGAGAACGACAGGCTGCAAGTCAAGAGTGGAATGAAGTCAGCCAGCAGCGGGAGCGTAACTACATGAGAACAACAGGCTGCAAGTCAAGAGTGGAACAAAGTCAGCCAGCAGTTGGAGCGTAACTACATGAGAACAACAGGCTGCAAGTCAAGAGTGGAACAGTCAGCCAGCAGCGGGAGCGTAACTACATGAGAACAACAGGCTGCAAGTCAAAAGTGGAACAAAGTCAGCCAGCACCTGGAGCGTACTACATGAGAACAACAGGCTGCAAGTCAAGAGGCTCACTAAGAAAGAGATGGGTGGAGGGAGTAAAAGGGACACTATGTTCTTCATCCATCACCTTGGATGAGGACCACTCTTTCTTTCATTTGTCATGAAGCTATATTTGAGTTCTCTGAGCCCGGAGGTGACTTATAAGCCAATGTACGGGTCCGGAAGGATCTAGGACAATGAGGGCAAGGAAGAGTGTCTGTAGTTAAGGGGCCTGTTAAACGGGTCTTTCAGCCTGCCTGGGCTGTTCAGCTGCCATTTTTCTTGAAGCCTCGCAGGTCACTGCCTCTCTTTGGATGGACGTTCACCATAAAGTCAGGTCTTGTGCAGCAGCACAAAGTTTCAGGGTCTATCTTAAAGGCTTTAAGAGATGCCTTTAGCCTGTCCTTGAAGCATGTGTCTGGCCACCGTGAGAGCATCTGCCTTGCTTATCTCATCATACAAGATTATATTTGGGAGCCACTGGTCTGGTAAGTGGACCATTGACCTGCCCATTGAATCTGTGACTGCACCGGATGGCAGTGATGCATGCTGGGAATGCCAGCTTTATCCAATACATCAGTATCCGGGACCGTCTTCCCACTTGATTTTCAGAATTTTCCTTAGACTATATGGAAGTGGTTGAGCTTTTTTGCATGACATCTGTATAAAGTCAGTGTTTCACAAGCATACAGCGGCATTGGAAGCACCGCTGCTCTGTATACCTTCGGTTTGGTTTGTAGACTGATACCACTTCAATGCCAGACATTGGCTCCTAAAAATATTCTTTTGTGGGACAAAGAAGAAGAGGATAAACCATAACTCATAAAATTGTTTTGCTTCAATATAACCAGGTTGACATCTGCGGCTTATAGGGTTTGTGAACGCAAGTTTCAAAATTACAAAATGCTGGGTTTGATTCAGCTGCAGACAATTTGACAGCAGACTGCTTCATGTTGAGTGTTGGAATGAGTGTCTGAAGGCATGAACAAACTTGTGAATGTAACATTAGCAAGTAAAACCACAGCCAACAGACACTGGGGCTGGTTTAGCAGGATCTGTGAAAGGATATGTAACAGACGCTGGGGCTGGTATAGGAGGTCCTGTGAAAGGACATTTAACAGAAAGATTTCACAAGAATAAATGTGTTGAGGACAGCTGATTGTTGACCCATATTAATGAGCTGCTGTCTCAGTGTCTCTACAGTTACTGTATCGTAATGCATAATTGTTGACTCATATTAATGAGCTGATGTCTCAGTGTCTCTACAGTTACTGTATTGTAATGCATAATTGTTGACCCATATTAATGAGCTGATGTCTCAGTGTCTCTACAGTTACTGTATTGTAATGCATAATTGTTGACCCATATTAATGAGCTGATGTCTCAGTGTCTCTACAGTTACTGTATTGTAATGCATAATTGTTGACCCATATTAATGAGCTGATGTCTCAGTGTCTGTACAGTTACTGTATTGTAATGCATAATTGTTGACCCATATTAATGAGCTGATGTCTCAGTGTCTCTACAGTTACTGTATCGTAATGCATAATTGTTGACCCATATTAATGAGCTGATGTCTCAGTGTCTCTACAGTTACTGTATTGTAATGCATAATTGTTGACCCATATTAATGAGCTGATGTCTCAGTGTCTCTACAGTTACTGTATTGTAATGCATAATTGTTGACTCATATTAATGAGCTGCTATCACAGTGTCTCTACAGTTACTGTATTGTAATGCATAATTGTTGACCCATATTAATAAGCTGCTATATCTCAGTGTCTTCACAGTTACTGTATCTTAATGCATAATTGTTGACTCATATTAATGAGCTGCTATCTCAGTGTCTCTACAGTTACTTTATTGTAATGCATAATTGTTGATCCGTATGAATAAGCTGCTGTCTCAGTTTCTGTTTTGTAATACATAATTGCTAATCCGTATAATGAGCAGATATCTGAATATCTTCACAGTTACTCTACCGTAATGCGTACGCTTTCTTGGGAAATATTCTCAACTTGTGTCATGAGTTCCCTGCACCTCGTGATCTCTTCTCTGGAGGAGCCTGGGTGGCCATGTATACAGCCTGTGCTGTCAATGGTAAGTAATCCCACTTTTTCTTGTTCTTCTCTGGTTTCTCATTATTCTTTCAGTTTTAGGTTTTGCAGCAGGTGTTCAGGAAGGGTAAAAACCACATTCATAAAATAATACATTGAAAAAACAGTCACAAACAGTCACAAATTCATTACTACATTCATTGTAGTAGTTCATTGAGCTAAACAGTTGAATCCCTGTCGTAGCTCATTCAACCAGTGCATCAAGCATAAGAGTTGAATCCCTGTCATAGTTCATTCAACCAGAGCATTGAGCTAAACAGTTTTATCTTTGTCGTGGTTCATTGAACCAGTGTATCAAACTAAACAGTTGAATCCTCATCGTGGTTCATTAAACCAATGCATCAAACTAAACAGTTGAATCCTCATCGTTGTTCATTCAACCAATGCATTGAGCTAAACATTTGAATCTTTGTTATAGTTCATTCAACCAATGCATCAAACTAAACAGTTGAATCCTCATCGTGGTTCATTCAACCAGTGCATCAAACTAAACAGTTGAATCCTCATCGTGGTTCATTCAACCAGTGCATCAGGCTAAACAGTTGAATCCTGGTCGTGGTTCATTCAACCAGTGCATTGAGCTAAACATTTGAATCTTTGTTATAGTTCATTCAACCAATGCATCAAACTAAACAGTTGAATCCTCATCGTGGTTCATTCAACCAGTGCATCAAACTAAACAGTTGAATCCTCATCGTGGTTCATTCAACCAGTACATTGAGCTAAACATTTGAATCTTTGTTATAGTTCATTCAACCAATGCATCAAACTAAACAGTTGAATCCTCATCGTGGTTCATTCAACCAGTGCATCAAACTAAACAGTTGAATCCTCATCGTGGTTCATTCAACCAGTGCATTGAGCTAAACATTTGAATCTTTGTTATAGTTCATTCAACCAATGCATCAAACTAAACAGTTGAATCCTCATCGTGGTTCATTCAACCAGTGCATCAGGCTAAACAGTTGAATCCTGGTCGTGGTTCATTCAACCAGTGCATTGAGCTAAACATTTGAATCTTTGTTATAGTTCATTCAACCAATGCATCAAACTAAACAGTTGAATCCTCATCGTGGTTCATTCAACCAATGCATCAAACTAAACAGTTGAATCCTGGTCGTGGTTCATTCGACCAGTGCATTGAGCTAAACATTTGAATCTTTGTTGTAGTTCATTCAACCAATGCATTAAACTAAACAGTTGAATCCTCGTCGTGGTTCATTCAACCAATGCATCAAACTAAACAGTTGAATCCTCGTCGTGGTTCATTCAACCAAAGCATCAGGCTAAACAGTTGAATCCTCGTCGTGGTTCATTCAACCAAAGCATCAGGCTAAACAGTTGAATCCTCGTCGTGGTTCATTCAACCAATGCATCAGGCTAAACAGTTGAATCCTCGTCGTGGTTCATTCAACCAAAGCATCAAACTAAACAGTTGAATCCTGGTCGTGGTTCATTCAACCAATGCATCAAACTAAACAGTTGAATCCTGGTCGTGGTTCATTCAACCAATGCATCAAACTAAACAGTTGAATCCTGGTCGTGGTTCATTCAACCAATGCATCAAACTAAACAGTTGAATCCTGGTCGTGGTTCATTCAACCAATGCATCAAACTAAACAGTTGAATCCTGAATCCTGCATCAAACTCGTTGAATCCTGGTCGTGGTTCATTCAACCAATTCAACCAATGCATCAAACTAAACAGTTGAATCCTGGTCGTGGTGGTTCATTCAACCAATGCATCAAACTAAACAGTTGAATCCTGGTCGTGGTTCATTCAACCAATGCAAACAAATCTAAACAGTTGAATCCTTCAACCAGTGCATCAAACTAAACAGTTGAATCGCATCAAACTAAACAGTTGAATCCTCATTCAACCAATGCATCAATTCAACTAAAACAGTTGAATCCTGGTCGTGGTTCAACAACCAATGCATCAAACTAAACAGTTGAATCCTCATCGTGCATTCAACCAGTGCTAAACAAACAGTTGAATCCTCATCGATTCAACCAGTCCTAAACATTTGAATCTTTGTCGGTTCATTCATTCAAACCAATTCATTCAACCAGTGCATCAAACTAAACAGTTGAATCCTGGTCGTGGTTCATTCAACCAATGCATCAAACTAAACAGTTGAATCCTGGTCGTGGTTCATCGTGGTTCATTCAACCAATCGTGCATCAAAATGCTAAACAGTTGAATCCTCGTCGTGGTTCATTCAACTGGTCGTGGTTCATTCAACCAATGCATCATTCAACCAATGCATCAAACAGTTGAATCCTGGTCGTGGTTCATTCAACCAATGCATCAAATCTAAACAAAGTTAAACAGTTGAATCCTGGTCGTGGTTCATTCAACCAATGCATCAAACTAAACATTTGAATCTTTGTTGAATCAACCAATGCATCAAACTAAACAGTTTGAATCCTGTGTGGTTCATTCATTCAACCAATGCATCAAACCAATGCTAAAAACAGTTGAATCCTGGTCGTGGTTCATTCAACCAATGCATCAAACTAAACAGTTGAATCCTGGTCGTGGTTCATTCAACCAATGCATCAAACTAAACAGTTGAATCCTGGTCGTGGTTCATTCAACCAATGCATCAAACTAAACAGTTGAATCCTCGTAGTGGTTCATTCAACCAATGCATCAAACTAAACAGTTGAATCCTCGTCGTGGTTCATTCAACCAATGCATCAAACTAAACAGTTGAATCCTGGTCGTGGTTTCATTGCATCACTAAACAGTTGAATCCTGGTCGTGGTTCATTCAACCAATGTTGAATCCTGGTCGTGGTTCATTCAACCAATGCATCAGGCTAAACAGTTGAATCTAAACAATGCATGAATCCTCATTCAACAACAAATGCATCAAACTAAACAGTTGAATCCTGGTCGTGGTTCATTCAACCAATGCATCAAACTAAACAGTTGAATCCTCGTCGTGGTTCATTCAACCAATGCATCAAACTAAACAGTTGAATCCTGGTCGTGGTTCATTCAACCAATGCATCAGGCTAAACAGTTGAATCCTGGTCGTGGTTCATTCAACCAGTGCATTGAGCTAAACATTTGAATCTTTGTTATAGTTCATTCAACCAATGCATCAAACTAAACAGTTGAATCCTCATCGTGGTTCATTCAACCAGTGCATCAAACTAAACAGTTGAATCCTCATCGTGGTTCATTCAACCAGTGCATTGAGCTAAACATTTGAATCTTTGTTATAGTTCATTCAACCAATGCATCAAACTAAACAGTTGAATCCTCATCGTGGTTCATTCAACCAGTGCATCAAACTAAACAGTTGAATCCTCATCGTGGTTCATTCAACCAGTGCATTGAGCTAAACATTTGAATCTTTGTTATAGTTCATTCAACCAATGCATCAAACTAAACAGTTGAATCCTCATCGTGGTTCATTCAACCAATGCATCAAACTAAACAGTTGAATCCTGGTCGTGGTTCATTCGACCAGTGCATTGAGCTAAACATTTGAATCTTTGTTGTAGTTCATTCAACCAATGCATCAAACTAAACAGTTGAATCCTCGTCGTGGTTCATTCAACCAGTGCATCAGGCTAAACAGTTGAATCCTGGTCGTGGTTCATTCAACCAGTGCATTGAGCTAAACATTTGAATCTTTGTTATAGTTCATTCAACCAATGCATCAAACTAAACAGTTGAATCCTGGTCTCTCAGAGAGTTCACACCAGCCTGATAAAAGAAAGCCACAACAGCCTACAGTTAATACGGGCAGAGTGGCTAAGGGCCTGTTGTCTGATTCATGGAGACTACTGACATTGTGACAAAACAGAGAACAGTGTAGGATACTCCCTCCTGTGCCTGGGGTAGTGAATCGAACACCTAAACTTCTCAAATGAGGTCACATAATTAGATGACATAAAAGGGTAGTCTCCAGGATTTAGGGCAGTTGTACAAGAGTCGTAGATTTTTAATGATGAACTTAGTCATATCCCTTCTGTCTTACCCTTTGAGCCAGTGCGATTGAGAAAGGGCTTTCTCTGATTCAAGCGAAAAACATAAAATATGTTAGAAGTCTTATAAAATATTTCTTAAGACCACCATATTATCATACTTTTTGGGAAGTTATTGAAAAAGCTGATGGATTGGCTGGTTCTGTTTTGGTTGCAGATGGTCGGCCTAAGGATCGTGTCGACTTTGCTAATGTCCTAAAAGAGATAGGATGATTGGAGGATTTTATGAGCAGCATGTCTAGATCATAGCTAAGAATGCGAGAATTGGGAGTAAAGATCGGCACAGCCAAGCATGTGAGGCACACAGGACATACAAGGCATAGGGACGTGAGCACCTGTGGATGTCACTGGAGTGCCGTGAAGATATGCTTGCCCATAACTCAGTTGCTTGGAACAATCTTAAAAACCTACATATAAATGCACACGATAACTGGTGCATGTGCAAAATAGGAACAGTGAAACAGCATGACACCATTGTCACTGATACAGTGCTTAGAGAGAACAAATATCAACAGATAAAACAACCCCTGATAATAGAATATCCTTTGTCTTGGAACCCACAGAACTAGGTAGATAAGAGGAGACTTGAAAACCCACAAGAAATATGATTAGAGACACATATAAATAATAGAGGAAGGTCAAGTTTTAAGCTAGTAGAAAGATGGGATAGTTTGTCATGTATGGGTTCTGGGAGGAGATAGCATAAAGATGGGATGGCTCGTCATGTGTGGATTCTGGGAGGAATTGGCAAAAAGATGGGATGGTTTGTCATTAGTGGATTCTGGGAGGAGATGGGATTGTTTGTCATAAGTGGGTGGGAGGGGGGGGGGGGGGGAATTGGTTTCTTCTTCTCATTCACCTGCTGTAAATTCTGACAGAAAGTTTTAGTTTTTCCACCTCTGAACTTTGTAATTTTTCCAGGACTTGAGTGTTGCACTCACATTTGTTTTACAGATATGACTTATTTGTATGCAGACTGTTGGTTCCTCGCCTATTAGACAGAAGCACTCAGACTCGGACAGAAACATTGATACTATAACGTTGGCCAGGCTCCTAGGCTCCTAGTTCCCTGTTTCTGGGATGACCACGGAGAGGTCTCGACCAGTAAGAGCCATGGTCCTGCTGAACCACAGCTATATGTCGTTCAGCACCTCTTCATCCCTTGATAGGACGCACTGGCCTCTTGAGTTGGAGAGGGGCAAGGCCGTTGCCGAGGTTTCACCTTTACTGAAATCGGGTCACCCTATGCTTGCTTCATATCTGTGCCAGTGAAAATCAGATGAAATTTTCTTTTGCTATACTGTTTGAAAAACTGGTAAAACAGACAGTTAGTCCCGGCACGGTCCATAAATATGTGAATGCAGTAAATGCATAAGACACTTGCTAGTGGTGCCAAAGCCAACAGTCAGCATCAGAAATTAATTTTTTCATTGATTGAAGCTGTCGGTCATGATAAGTTGGCTATACACACTTAAAATTATTACATAAGATATTTTGCCAGCCCACACATTATTTTGCCAGCCCACACATTATTTTGCCAGCCCACACATTATTTTGCCAGCTCACACATTATTTTGCCAGCCCACACATAAACTGGAAACTTGCCATACTGAGAATATCACAACTGATGCACAGATAAAAGACATTTTACATTAAAATTAAAAAGTAAAAATGGCTCACAATGCTGAACCAAGCACTTAACTTAGTATATTAGGCAGGGAAACCATATACTTTTGTCCCTATGTGAAACCTACATTGGCAAAATGCTGTCAGAAGCACAAACAACTGAAGCTAAAGATTCTGCCTTTGCCTATCCTCAGTTTTGGGCTAGAAGTCAGGAGGTGCAAAAGTATATGTGATGTGCTCCCTCCCAAAGAACTAAGAAACGGTATTTGTATTCTATTTCTCCTGATGCAGATTGTATTAACTGTTTGTAATGTTTGTTTCCTTAGATCCGAACCCACAGTTCAGGGAGCCTCTGCCAAAGAGTGTCCGGCTGGAGGACATGAAGGAAATCAGTATGAAGGTCTACCAGATTGTCATGTCCAACAGGGATGTGGTCAGGAGCATTGTCAGGGGATTGTTTCCATTTGATTGAAGACAGTGTTTAGCTGGCTGCTGTTTATGTGTGATGGGTATATGATTGGAGGCTGTTAATGTCTGATTGCTGTTTGGTTGTGTGCAGTTGGTGTTTGATTGGATGTTAATGTGTTTGATTTGCTGTTAACCTGTGACTGGTTGTTAGCATGTAACTGGTTGTTAGCGTGTGGCTGCTTGTTAGCGTGTGTCTGGTTGTTAACGTGTGACTGGTTGTTAGCGTGTGACTGGTTGTTAGCGTGTGACTGGTTGTTAGCGTGTGTCTGGTTGTTAGCGTGTGACTGGTTGTTAGCGTGTGACTGGTTGTTAGCGTGTGACTGGTTATTAGCATGTAGAGTCAGGAAAGAAAGGTAAAGTCGGGAGATTTGAACCAGCATTATTGCACACGGTTATAAACCATAAGTGCTCTTCCACCACCACGGACAGCTGATAAGAAACTGTCCGCCTGTGTTGCCGTCCACATGCAACTCCGTAGCTACAGCGACTTTCCTCCCTTTACCCCAGAATGTTAACTCTAGTACCCATTACCTAGAAGCTGGGTGAACCCCGAGAACCACCCGGTTTTAAACACAGGCCATGGCATCTGACTTTGAAGGAACCCCCACCTTTTTCCTAGGCAGTGGGCATATTACCCACAGTGGGACCCTGGAGTCAACACAGGGATCTCAAATTTAAAATGGCAGGATACATTTCAAAGTGATGCCTGTTTCTAGTACCTGTGTTCATCTGGATTAACCCCAATGCCCAGGTCATTGTGTATAGAAATCAATCTAAGCCTGACAGCGATTCCTACACATGGCTACCAGACTTCTTCTGAGTTTGCCCTTAAAAGAGTGGTTGGCACATTATTTTGTGGTTTACAGCTAGACTGTGATATCTACGCCTGTAGTCCCAACACAACCAATTTCAGCAAACCCGTAATTAGTGGTCTTTTATGACATGCCTGTTGGGGGGTAGTGGATTGTCCTCTTCCCCCCCCCCCCCCCCCCCCCGGGCCAAAACTAGGGCCCTGGTCCCCACACAGGAAACTGCCTGACCAGTGGGGTAAGCCTCAAAGCTACTGTGCTAGAAAATATATGGATTGTTTGTATTAGATGTAATTTTAGAGAGCTGTGACAGTTTTTTTTTTTTTTAAAGAAATATGGGGCTTTTAGAGATGTGAAATAGAGCTTGTAGATTTATGGGGACTTTTAGAGATGTGAAATAGAGCTTGTAGATTTATGGGGACTTTGAGAGATGTGAAATAGAGCTTGCAGACATATGGGGACTTTTAGAGATGTGAAATAGAGCTTGTAGACATATGGGGACTTTTAGAGATGTGAAATAGAGCTTGCAGACATATGGGGACTTTTAGAGATGTGAAATAGAGCTTGTAGACTTATGGGGGCTTTTAGAAATGTGAAATAGAGCTTGTAGACATATGGGGACTTTTAGAGATGTGAAATAGAGCTCGCAGACATATGGGGACTTTTAGAGATGTGAAATAAGAGCTTGTAGACATATGGGGACTTTTAGAGATGTGAAATAGAGCTTGTAGACTTATGGGGGCTTTTAGAAATGTGAAATAGAGCTTGTAGACATATGGGGACTTTTAGAGATGTGAAAAAGAGCTCGCAGACATATGGGGACTTTTAGAGATGTGAAATAAGAGCTTGTAGACATATGGGGACTTTTAGAGATGTGAAATAGAGCTTGTAGATTTATGGGGACTTTTAGAGATGTGAAATAGAGCTTGTAGACATATGGGGACTTTTAGAGATGTGAAATAGAGCTTGCAGACATATGGGGACTTTTAGAGATGTGAAATAGAGCTTGTAGACATATGGGGGCTTTTAGAAATGTGAAATAGAGCTTGTAGACTTATGGGCGCCTTTAGAGCGAAGGAGCGTTTTTACAAATTATGAGGCTTTCAGGGATATGTAGGTATGATAAGATTCCTTAAACCTTTAGAGGAATGGAGTTTTTAATTATTAGAAGTTGTTGTTTTGTTTTTATGGGGCTTTTAGAGATGTGATGTGCTTTTAGAGATGTGATGTGCTTTTAGAGATGTGATGTGCTTTTAGAGATGTGATGTGCTTTTAGAGATGTGATGTGCTTTTAGAGATGTGATATGCTTTTAGAGATAATGGAACCTTTAGAGGTGTGGCCTTACAGAACTGTGATTTTGCAGAAGTGGCACTTTCCGAGGTAATGGATGTTTGAGGGATGTGATATTGGGCTTAGAGAGGCATTAACAGGTGTGGGACTTGCAGATCTGCATTAACAGGTGTGGGACTTGCAGACCTGCATTAACAGGTGTGGGACTTGCAGACCTGCATTAACAGGTGTGGGACTTGCAGACCTGCATCAACAGGTGTGGGACTTGCAGACCTGCATTAACAGGTGTGGGACTTGCAGACCTGCATTAACAGGTGTGGGACTTGCAGACCTGCATTAACAGGTGTGGGACTTGCAGACCTGCATTAAACAGGTGTGGGACTTGCAGACCTGCATTAACAGGTGTGGGACTTGCAGACCTGCATTAACAGGTGTGGGACTTGCAGACCTGCATTAACAGGTGTGGGACTTGCAGACCTGCATTAACAGGTGTGGGACTTGCAGACCTGCATTAACAGGTGTGGGACTTGCAGACCTGCATTAACAGGTGTGGGACTTGCAGACCCGCATTAACAGGTGTGGGACTTGCAGACCTGCATTAACAGGTGTGGGACTTGCAGACCTGCAGAGTTTTTAGAGTCTTGGTCTGGTGGTAGCTTCCCAACACTGTGGCTTTTGTTTGAGACTCCACCTGTGGCAGGATACCCCAGCCAGGTTTAGTGGATCAAACAATATAAGCTGCCATCTTTACACTATAGGCTAGGGCTGTTCAGCTAAGTTTACTCGGGAGGGTCAACATTTTTTAATAGGGTTCGTCACGGGCCAGAGGTATGGGCCCCGGGGTAGAAAGGTCATTAATACAGTACAACTGGCACCGATCTGCGGGCCACTTTCTAGGCCAGATTTGGCCTGCGGGCCGCCAGTTAAGTAGCCATGCTATTTATTGGATAACTGCCGTACATTTTGTTTCTGGCCATAATGGTAGCATCTAACATAAACTTTCATATCTGTCTTCATTCACCTTTAAAAAGATGGTTGACATATTGTGTTGTGGTTTAGAGCCAGGCTGCGATATCTAGGCCTTTTGGCCCAACATATCAGATGTCAGCAAACCCTTAATTAGTGACCTTTCAGGACATGCTTGCAGGGCCTGATTTAGACTTGATGAGGCCATCAGCTCTATAAAGCACTGAGGCCTTTCATGTTTTAAATGAGACCAGCCCATCTCAGAGAACTCAAATATATACGCCTGGAAAATATCTAAATAATGCAAAGGAATAATAAGTAAATGGTAAAATATATAAATATTGGAAATATATTGTCATTACAACAATTCTTCTTCTTCACGTTCACCAGCTGTAAACTCTGGCGGAAAGTTCTGGTTGTTCATCCACTTCTGGACTGCATTCCTGTTCCAGAGCCAGAGTGTTGCGTGTGCATCCGTTTGACAGATCTGACTCATTTGTACGCAGACTGTTGGTTCCTTGCCTCTCAGGCAGAAGCACTCCAACTGTAAAGGAAGCTCCCAATTAGTCGACTCTTATGACATACATTTGGGTAGGCAGTGGGTCTGTTCTTGTCTTCATTATAACAAGGTGCCGAACCCAACAAGGGGAGTTCCAACAAATAATACATTGCATGTTTGCAAAATGACAAATTATTTGATGCTGTAAAAGCCTGTGAGTTACAACTGAAAGCATAATTTTCTTGATTTGCCAAAGGCACAATCGTTGATTATGTCATCGCAGACATGCTGTGTAATATATCACTTCCTATACACCTGATGCTAAGGGGCAGACAGATTAACATATTTTACAACAAAATGGAATTTACAGTAAATTAAAAGATAATGGCATTTGTTGAAAACAAATTTTTTTAGGCCCCAGAATAGTATGAGGCCCAAAGCTGTAGCTTTGATCTAAATCTAGCACTGCATGCTTGTTACTGGGCAGTGGGTTTGTTCTTTTGCCGTGCAGACCCACACAGGAAATACTTGCCCATTCAACGTTTGATGCTGCCTTCCCATTGACACCACTGTCTTCCTCTAACATGCTCGCCTTCTGTCTTCTCCTCCTCTAGCATCATTTCAAATTATATCTCTCTTCATTTAATCAGAATATTGTGTGTCTGTGTGTGTGCATATTTTGGTTTGCTCAACGCCAGACAAGAGGTTTTTTTTTTTAATTGCTTAAAAAAAATGTAAACGTGAATAAGGTTAGTTGCGTATCCTTTACAGGACGTTGCAGAACCAACCCCATGTATGTGTGGTTTTTCTAGGTAATTTTCCGTCCAGTAGTTTGCTATTTCTTTCTGGACGGTCGGCTTTTCTTATTACAACTATCGAAACCAACCCAAGGCGCATGGCCTGCAGCTGGGATCGAACCCGGCATCCCGGCATTACGAAGCGTTCGCATCGACTTAGCCACAGAGCCGACGTATAAGTTGTTAACATTAGCAGATATTGCAACTAAATAAGGAGACTGGTTTATTCTTATTGATTAATACTGGAATAATTCATGACAGTGGTTTTGTTTACTAGGAATACTTGTGTTTGTGACTTGTAAATGGAACATTACCAGTAACATCTCCACAGTGACATATTAGGATAAGGGACTGTTCACATTCAACTGCACTTGATGGTGTGTTAGTATTTCTGATGACTGCTTTGTTGTATACAAATATTTCAGATTTTTGAACAACAGTGTACACATCAACATGAGCCTATGTTGCAGTTGTACATTTGTTAGATATTCACCCATCACAGATTGTGTGGGTATGTCTAGTTTCGCGTCATCGGCTAGTCAGCCGTACATTTGGCAGCTCTCAGACCTGAGTTATGTTTTTTCCTTCTGTATTTTATGGTTGTATAATAATACCTCAGTTTTGATATTTGATTATATTTTT